TGCCTGGTACAGTGAATATAGTAGAAGACTCTGCCCTCATATAATCTATGCTGTAGGTCCCTTTACCTAAGCAGAAAACCAAGTAAGCCAGGTTAAGATAGCAGTAGTAAGAGGGGCTAGGGATGTGGCTCAAGCGGTAGCGCGCTCGCCTAGCGTGCGTGCGGCCCGGGTTCGATCCTCAGCACCACATACAAAGGAAGATGTTGTGTCCACCGAGAACTAAGAAAAATAAATAAATATTAAAATTCTCTCTCTCTGTCCCCCTCTCTCTCTCACTCTCTCTTAAAAAGAAAAAAGCAGTAGTAAGATAGTAGAGAGCAGTAGAAAGAAACTTCTATGCAACCATCAGCTCATTGTGATAGGTGACTTTCTGTTAGGCTTTGGGACCTTTGGGCTTCATCCAGCCTTTTTTTTTTTTTTTTAAGTTGTTGATGGACCTGTATTTTATTTATTTTATTTTTCTATGTGGTGCTGAGAATCAAACCCAGTGCCTCACACATGCTAGACAAGCGCTCTTCCACTGAGCCACAACCTGAGCCCCCACATCCAGCCTTTTACAATCAAAATTACTAACACAGTGAATGACACTATGATCTATAGAAGAATAATTGATTAGTTGAGTGTTGAATCAAGAACACTAAAGTTACAGCAGGAGCCAACTATTCTGTGATCAGATCTGGGGGAGTAAAGAGACAGGATCTTTTTTTAAAAAAACATTTTTTAGTTGTAGTTGGACACAATACCTTTGTTTTATTTATTTTATTTTTAAGCGGTACTGAGGATCGAACCCAGCGCCTGGGCATGTGCTAGGTGAGCTACCGCTGAGCCATAACCCCAGCCCAAGAGAGAAGATCTTAAGTGGGGAAAGCTACCAGAGAAATTTGTGGGGACCTAGGATACTGCCCCAGCTGTTTTAACCTGTGCACATCTCTGGGGAAGTTAAGAGGTGGTTAGCTCTAAAGCTAGAATTGTTGTGAGATAGCTGTCCCCCCTTTGGCTTGTGAATATTGCCCTCTATTGATTAGATCCACCTAACCTTGGGTCTTAAGTCCTGGAATGAGGAAGAAGCAGTGAATTGGCTATTACCTCCTGGAAGAGATACAAATTTAGGAGTAATGCCAGGAACTGGGATCCCCAGTGCTTTCTAGAGACTTTTAAGAGATGAGAGACCAGTTATCCATCTGGGAAACCATTTTCATATATTTTGGAATCTTGGTATATTGAGTGAGATTAAGTCAGTTGTTTGCTGAGCTTCTGTACTTGTTTTCTTTCTCATTAGGAATGATATATGTATTTAAATGGAACTATAAAAAATTCACGTATATCATGGAATTCCACAATCCAGATTCAGGTTAAAACACACCTGGAGAGATTCACTCACCCTTACTCTTATCACCCTCATCTGGCTGACCTCTGTTTTATGGTATTTCCTCTGATTGCACTAAAGAGTACCTGTTCTTATGTATTTGCTTATTACTTATCTCCTTCACTAGAATGTAAGCTCCACAAGGGCAGGAGTACAGTATTACTTATTGCTATAACCATGGAGTGGGGAACTGTGCCTAGTTACACAGTTAATGTCGGTATTAGTTTCCTAGGGCTGCTATAGCAAATAACTACAGTGTGTGTGTTTTAAAACAGCAGAAGTTTATTCTCTCACAGTGCAGAAGGCCTGAAGCCCAGAAGGAGTCAGCCAGTTGGTTCCTTTGGATTCCCTGAGGGAGACACTGTCTCATGCCTCTCCTGTAGTGGGTATTAATTCCTGGCATTTCTTGGCTTCTAGATGCATAACTGCACTCTATGCCTTCATCTTCACATTGCCTTCTTGATATCTGTGTCCTTTTTTGCCTTATAAGGACATGGTCCTTGGATTTGGGGCCCATTTTGTTCTAGTATGATTTTATCATTCATGTGCAAAGACTATTTCCAAACAAGGAAGGTCACAGTCTGAGAGTCTGGTGCACTGATCTTTTGAGGGAGTTGGGGTACTAACCCATTACATTGCTTAATAAATGTTTCTTAGATGAATGAATGAATTCACAGAGTAATTCTAGGCTGTAAACTCCTTGGATATTTCCATCATCTTAATAACTGTGCTACAGAGGTAGGGGTTAATTAATCTGTTGTCCCAGATTACTTGGGCTCCAATTATGGTTCTACCACTTCCTAGTTGTGAGGTCTTAGGCAAGTTATTTATATTCTGTAAGCTTAAGTTTCCTGTTCTGTAAAATGGTGACAGTAAGAGAAGTAATGAAGAGTGTGCTTCACAATATGTTTTAGCTATTATGTATTTGCACTTCTTTAAAAAAAATTTAAATATTTATTGAATCTCCACAAGTTTTATGAGGTAGGCTAATTCTTACAATAAAGAACATTAAATTTGTTTCAAGAATTAGAAACAAACTATATGTCACTTGGTGAAGTGCTTGGCACATAGTGCTTTAAAAAGTCTTATAATGGTGAATGTGTCTTAATGTCATAACTGTAAGATTTCTCTTGAAAAATGGACCCCAGGAGCTGGGCTGTAGCTCAGTGGTAGTGCGCCTGCCTCACGAGTGTGAGGCATTGGGTTCAATCCTAAGCACCACATAAAAATAAATAAAGATAGTGTCCATTACAACTAAAAAAAAGAAAAGAAAAGAAAATTGGACCCCAAATCAGAAAAAAATCTATTGCACACTGAGGGAGGCATCTCACTTTTTTGTTTGTGTGGTCACTGTCTCTAAGGGTGCACTATCCCTGGGAGGACCAGGCAGGTGCTGACCAAAGGTAAGAACATTTAAGCAGTCAAATTGCAGTATGTATCTCCAGTGTAGCAGTGAATGTATCAGACTGCTAAAAATAAAATTTCTTGGAAATTTCCTACAAGGCTGGTTCTTGTTACTTTCTTCCCAGTGACTATTAGAGTAGGGGATTGATATGCCAGAAATATTAGGAACAGCAAACAGAACATCTACACAAGTTACTTTATCATATGATGAATGTTTCACTGGACAAGAAAATATTATGGTAATTGTGGGTATGTCTTCCCTTTAGTGTTTAATGTGGTTTTTTCCTTCAAAATGATCGAACTAGTTGGATGTATGCTTGGAATCTTAGGCCAAAGAAAAAAAAATTTCAAAGGGCCAGAAATGTTTCTTTTTGTAAAATTTAAAGTATATCAAGAAACTGGATGATGGTTATCACTATAAAAAAAAGTTGAAATGCAAATGTATCAAAAATTTTTACACAGGAATAATTAATAGGTCATTCAGGATTACTGTGTGAGCAGTATATGTTATGAACTTATAATATTTTGATTCTTTACATTACAAAAGTTTGATACAAAGAAAATAAAAATAGATTTTATATCATTACCATCATGCAAAGAATACCTATCTCAAACACTCTTTCTGGTGCTATTGGTAAGTAGAACTGGTTGGTTTCTCCATGTTTATGTTTAAGGAATACATAATTTACACTATTGGTGTGATATGCTTTAGTTCTGAGGGGAACACTGTAGTGATGCAAGAACCAGGAAGACTGATCTACCCTCTCAAGTCCCTTGATTTAGTTACTTTACTTCACTAGTTCCTGTAGCACCTCCACCAGAGGGCAGAAAGTGGAAAAGAAAGGAGATGAAATAGAAACTCACATAGCTTCAGCATGCCTGTAAGAAACCTTGGTGATTGAATCCAATCAATGCTTAGTTCATAAACTGAGTTAACCGTGGCCTAGAAAGACTGGGACTTGCTCACATTGGAGATGACAGATGAATCTCCTAGGCTCTTGATTCCCAGGCAGGCACCCCTGTGGTGATAGTGCTTGATGAGGCAGAATCTCTATTAGGAAGAGCTCAATCCTGAAATCACACTGCCTCTGGGGAATCCCAGTTCAGCTACTTGCTAGCTGTATAATGTTAGGCTGGTTTCTGCTATCTCATCTCTAAAATAAAGGCAGTGATAGCACCTACTTCAAAGTGTTTGGTAGAAGTAAAATAAGTGTAATAGAATGCATGCAAAGTGCTTAGGACACAGCCTGCCAAGTACTAAGAGCCTAATTTTTGTAAGTTATGATAAACTTGTTAGATACTGTTTTCTGAATCTCATGTTAGAATAGCATGGGATCAGTGTTCCAACCGTCACATCTCATTTTAGGAACAAAATACCAGTTTCACCCAAAATTTTCTAATGCATATACCCTTTTCCCCCTAGAAATAATACTAAAGGAGCAGGTGCCTAATATATGCTGTTGACTAAACATGGCCTCCTTTAAATAATGAAAATAAGTTTAATAAATAACCTCATGAGTAATTTTTGAAATTTTCATAAGATCCTGGCTGAAATTGGATAGTTATTTCTAAGAAAAACTCAATGAAGTCTGTCTCCCTCCCGTTGTGAATATCTCCAGTGATCTCTTTGATGCTGCCTTATAGGAAAACTGGTTGCTTGTTCATGACAGGCAGGATTTGTTGGCTTCTTGGTTCAGCCTCTGGATACTACCGTCAAGAAATCCCATAGGTAGTTTATGAAGCAGGTTGGGGTTCTCCCGTGTCCCTGAGCCCTCAGCAAAGGCAGTTTCTTTACTAAACCTGTAACAAGGCAAATTTCCATTTGTATAATGCAAATAATAGTTGCTTTCCAAAGGTTACATCTTTTTTAAGATAACAAGCTTGATATTGTCAGTGGCTGCAGTTTTCTGATTTTTGCTTGACTACCATCTGGCTAAAAGTAAGTGGTCTAGGATGTGATAAGAACATGGAGAAAAGTAACCCTTTTCCTCCCAAGCACTCTGACATCCCAGACTTAATCACCATGTCCTTTTCTGCTGTCCTGCGGAGTGTAAGTTTTCCTGGGGAGATTAGCAGACCCTTGGCTTTCCCTCTGCCTCTGATGAATAACTTCTTTGAATGCAAGGGTGTGTGTAGGGGGGAGGGGGGTATATGGAGGATCTGTCATTAAGGGTTATTATGGGTAGGACCCAGAGTGAAGGGAGGGAGTGGTCCGCGGGTGGGATTTGTCGAACCGACAAAATATGGGACTCCTGTCCCTTGAAGTACAACTTGTCTCTTCCTGAGTAAGGAGAAAGGCATCTGTAGTGCCTCTCCCAGGGACACATAGAAGAGAGAAAAGCGATCAAGATAAGAGTGGACAGAGGAATAAGCGAGACATGTTCACGAAACGGTCCCCTGCCCTCGCTCTGGAAGAGCGCTACCGCCGAGCTGGGGTCCCAAAGCCGGTAGGATCCACGATCCACGCTCCTGCCGAAGAGAGGTCCGGTGGCCTTCGAGTCCAGGTGAATTCAGGGTCAACCCTTCCCGCCGCAGTCCCCTCCTTCCCCCGGGTACCACCTCCTTCCCGGCCGTCGGTGAGCTCTGTCTTTCTCAGTGCTGCGCTCAGCGCCCTGCAGCTAGTACTGGGGCACGCGGACCACTGGGTCGCCTTGCCTCTGAGACTCTCCAGGGTCATGGGCAGGGTGTCCTTCAGCTTTCGAGTTGGCTCTGTCCGGAGATCCCGCTCTGCTTGCCAGGGGCTCTGCTACCTCTCCTACAGAGTCCCTCTTCCGCCAGGCGCCCGCGGCACATCTAGTGGACTCAGCCGCACACCGGCGCTTGGGGAGGCTGCCGGTGGAGCCGTCGGAACCAGCCCCTCGGGGATCCACGGCTTGCTCTCTGCACCCTGGTTTCAGGCATCCGGTAGCTGGAAGGATTGCGCGGCAGCCTTGCCTGCCCCAGACGTAAGCCTCCTCTCTGAATTGCGCGCGCCTAGGTGTCTCTTTTACAACCAGCACATGGGCACGGTTCCCTGGCGACCAGTGTGCCCCGGGATCATCCTGAGTGGCAACATCCCACAATCGCCTCACTTTCGGAGTGCTGGAACTCCTGGGTTCCCTGCATACAAACTTTCTCTCCCGCGGGTACTCGCCTGGGCACATCCTGCTCTGGCCGCCGGGAGGCGTAGGTTCAAAGCTCTAGGATTTGGCACGCTCAGATCCTGTCCTGGGAAGGGACAACATTGCCCCAGGTTCGGGAAGGGAAATAAAAAGAAGGGCACTACGGATGCTGCCCACTGGCCTGAACCTCCAGGAATTAAATTTACAACACCCATTCTTTGGCCTCAATAGGGCCCCATAATCCGCTCGCTACTGTTAGACTCCCAGCTGCGCAGAGTCCAGACGAGTGTCTCTGCCCGCAGACACCTCGGGCTGGGCGAGCGGGAGACCTGTGGTGTCCTGTAGGATCCTACTGGAACTCAGTCCCCCAGCGACGCCGCGGGCGCCCCTGTCCTGGTGTCATACTCTTGAGGCCGGTGGATGGCAGTGCAGGCGCTGTTTGCACGACTTCCCAAGGACTTGGGCGGGGAGTTTGGGAGGGGACGCTGTCCCAGCAATTCAAAAAGTGGAGAGTTTTCCTCTTGCAGGAAACTTGTGAATACAATGCTCTGCAAAAACCAACTTCTGTACAAGACTTCAACAACTTCTATATGCATATTTGTGGTTTATAGTTTTTATTTCATTTTAAAAATTTAAAGTAATTTTCTGATGGAAGCAAAACTCTGCTAAACAACCTAAGACCTCTGCCAAAAAGGGAATGAAGAGGACTCATGGGTGTCTATTTTAGTAGAAAGTTTTGAAATTAAAGTGCTGGAACTCCTGGGTTCCAGGAGTAATGTTTTAATGCTATAAACATTAATTTTGGCCTAACACAAGAGAATGAAAAGACACCATAGCTTTTTCGCCCCTTGGTCACAGTGTCATTATCACCAACATTCACTTGTTTGTTTGTATTTAGTAGGTTCCCAATAGTTTTACTGTGTGAGAATGGGTACAAAATCAGTCTCCTAAACCAGTTTCCTGGATTTTGGAAATTTAGACTAGGTGTCTGTGTAGATATGTGAGAGAGGTCATGTGAGCAGTTAGGTTTTCCACAGACTCCTACCCAGGATACTAAAGGTTTCACTAGGATGAACTATTTTAAAAGTTATTCCATTTTTGTGGAATCACATAAATCTCAAAACCACAATATATTGTAAAGCTTTTTTTTTTCGGGGGGTAGAGAGCTCTTTCCTGAAAGTTCCTTGCCAGGGTAGGATGAGACAGACGGGAAGTTGGGGAAGAAGTTGAGCAGCCCGGTGTCTCCAGAGGGGTAACACAGTCCCTTTCTACAACCTGTAGTTTCAAATCTCACTGGTAATGAGGTGTCTTGTTCCTCATTTTTCCTCTTGCCTTCACCTCCAGCCTCCTTAAATACAAAGATATGTGCCCTTAGGGTTTCTGCATGTCTCTAAAGCCCATGTAATGAGAGCTCCCTGGGAACCAGGAGAGCTGTAACACCAAATCTTGCTGAGTATTTCCAAGGGAGGAAGGTTTATTTAACCTGCCACTCCTATCCTGCTAAGTTATTTAGCAAGAAGGAATTCATGCCTCCTCTGCCCCATCACTGTTTCTGACATTCCACTTTACCTGACCAGATGGAAAACGGTACAGTTTGGCTAAAGGATACTGGTTTGTACAGCTCACTAGATCCACACTAAGCATTCAATTAGCCCCAGACCTGCCTGTTCCTCAGAATCTACACACACACACACACACACACACACACACACACACACACAATTTTTGTAGTACTATTTAGAGAGGAGGGAAATAGAAGAAAATCTCAAGTGCACCATAGATGCTATGCCCTAGTAGGAAGAGTACAGGCTTTGGTGTTAGACCTCTGGTTCTACTCCTTAAAAGCTGAAAGGCTCTAGGCCACTCAAATAATCTTGTTGAGCCTCAGTTTCCTCTATCAGAAAGTAGGGATGATACTATTGATCACCTGTAAGTATACTGTGTGGATTAAAGATATACATATGTACTGGAGGTATGTAATAGGTGTCCATTCTATATCCTTTCTGTGAAGGCTCTCTAATCTTTTTTTTCCTACAATGACTTTATTGATGTATCCACAAATAAAAGACTGTATATATTTCATAAATACAACTTGATGAGTTTGGAATATTTATATGTCTGTGAAGCCATTGCCAAAAACATTCATCACTCCCAAAAGATTACTTCTGCTCCCTCTTTATTGTTATTATTAGGTATATACACACTTAGCAGAAGATCTATTCTCTTGTAAAATTTTAATTATACAGTAAACTACAGGTAGGTCTGCTAGGTAATAGATCTCTAGGATTCATTCAGGTCTGCTAGGTAATAGATCTGTAGGACTCATTCATCTTGCATTACCAAACTTTTACACTCATTTTCCAGTATCTTCCCCTTTCCCACTTCCCCAGGCAACTGCCATTCTACTCTCCGTTTATATGGATTTGACTCAGATTTCTTATATTAGTGAGATCATGCAGTATTTGTCCTTCTGTGTCTGGTTTATTTCATTTAGCATAATGGCTCCCAGATTCAAACCACCTTGTTGTGAATGGCAGATTTTCTTCTTCTTTTTTTTTAAGGCTTAGTAATATTACATTGTATGTGTATACCATATTTTCTTCATCCATCAAAGAGCATTTAGGCTGCTTCCATGTCTTGGCTATTGTGAATAATGCTGTAATGAAGAAGGGAATGCAGACATTTCTTCAAGGTCCTACTTTTAACTCCTTTGGTTATATATCCAGAAGTGGGATTGCTGGATCATATAGTAAGTAGTCCTATTTTTAATTTTTAATTCTTTTTTTTTTGGCTGGAGATTAAACTCAGGGGCACTTTACCACTGAGCCACATCCCCAACTCTTTTTATATTTTATTTTGAGACAGGGTCTCACTAAATTGCTTAGGGACTTGCTAAGTTGCCCAGGCTGTCTTCATACTTGTGATCCTTCTGCCTCAGCCTCCTGAGTCACTGGAATTATAGACATGAACCCCAGCACCCCAGCTTCATTGTGGTTTTTATTTTCATTTCCCTGATTGTTAGTGACACTGAGCAAATTTTCACATACCTGTTGTCTATTTGTCTGATTTCATTGGAAAATGTGTATCCAGGCTTTTTACCCATTTTAAAATCATTTATTTATTTATTTATTTATTTATTTATTTTCGCTATTGAGTTATAGGGTTTCCTTATAGATTTTGCAAATTAGCCCTTTTTCAGATATATGATCTGTAAATATTTACTCCCAGTCTCTAACTGACTTTTTGTTTTGTTGGTTGTTTCCTCTGCAATGCAGAAGCTTTTTAGTTTGAGTTTGTTTTACTTGTCCATTTTTGCTTTTGTTGCTCCTGGTTTTGGTGTTATATCCAAGAAATTATTGCAACTGCCAATGCCAGAAGGATTTGCCTCTGTTTACTTCCAGGAGTTTTATGGTTTCAGGTCTTAATCTTCAAGTCCTTAATCTACTTTTTATTTGAGTTCTGTGAATGATGTGAGATAAAGGTTCAATTTTATTCTATTGCATGGGGCTATTCAGTTTTTCCAATACCATCTGTTGAAGAAACTATCTTTTCCCCTGTGTATTCTGAGCACTCCTCTCAAAGATCAGATGGATATGGAGATATCTATATCTATGTCTCTATCTCTATCTATCTATATATCTCTATATATCTCTATATCTATATATATATATATTTATATCTATATCTATCTATCTATCTATCTATCTATCTATCTATCTATCTATATCTGCCGCCTGGTTTTCTTTTCTTTTTTTTATTGGTTGTTCACAACATTACAAAGCTCTTGACATATCATATTTCATACATCAGATTGAAGTGGGTTATGAACTCCCAATTTTACCCCAAATGCAGATTGCAGAATCACGTCGGTTACACATCCACAATTTTACATAATGCCCTATTAGTAACTGTTGTATTCTGCTACCTTTCCTATCCCCTACTATCCCCCCTCCCCTTCCCTCCCATCTTCTCTCTCTACCCCATCTACTGTAATTCATTTCTCTCCTTGTTTATTTTCCCATTCCCCTCACAACCTCTTATATGTAATTTTGTATAGCAATGAGGGTCTCCCTTCATTTCCATGCAATTTCCCTTTTCTCTCCTTTTCCCTCCCATCTCATGTCTCTGTTTAATGTTAATCTTTTCTTCCTGCTCTTCCTCCCTGCTCTGTTCATAGTTGCTCTCATTATATCAAAGAAGACATTTGGTATTTGTTTTTTAGGGATTGGCTAGCTTCACTAAGCATAATCTGCTCTAGTGCCATCCATTTCCCTGCAAATTCCATGATTTTGTCATTTTTTAGTGCTGCATAATACTCCATGGTGTATAAATGCCACATTTTTTTT